ATGGCAAGATTTCCATATAACCCCATACTTTAATTATGTTGCTGTAGTTAGTTATTCTTCAAAATACATTTGATTAATCACCAATACCATAAAGGATCCTGATTGACCCAGTCAAAATTTTCATCAGGAAATAATTATTCTTCCTGCTGTTAATGTTGAAGTCAGCAGTAGTGTCAGTGGAAATGACATCCATGTTGAATTTTGATCTCCCCCTCTAAGAAAAAACTATTTCTGTCAAGATTACCAGTTGTATTGTCCCTAAGATTGAAAAAAACGTTTTTCTTGTTATTACCTTCAGGCAAAACTGTTCCTGTTATCAAAATTTGTGTCTGCTGTTCAGAATCTCCCAGGATCTTTCCAGTATCTCCTTGACATTGTTAAGCGAGCCTCCCCAGGATCATTATTCCTCTTTGTGGACAATGCGCACATTCAAACCAAGTACTTCATAGAAGACTTGATATTCCCCTCGCATGATAGCACAGAGCAAGAGGAGTACAAAGAAAACAAATCATTTAGGTTGTATACTACATATGCAGAACTTAACTCCGACCGCGAGGAAGGTTTAAAGTCGGCTGCCATGTGTGAATGGGTGAGTCTTATCAGTTACTGGCTGGACAGGAACCCAATATTGGACTTGAGGGTTAATATTCATCTGGCTGTCAAAAAAGGGTGAGAGCTACAAACTGAAGAAGACAGCAGCCACAACATTACTGCATTTTAGTATACTTGGTATTTTTTAGTTTGAAATGAAAATTTTCACTATGAATTTTTCCCAAGGGATAAATAATGTAATGAAATTTATATTTATTGAACAATAATATTTACTTATTTTTCTTTAAAATTAACTTTTTCTCACTATATTTTGCCTGTATTAGAGATCTGTTTGAATTCATGTTTTTATTTGCCTCAAAGGATTGGGATATGACAGGTCACAAATTTATCGATATGATTGCTATCTCTTTAAATTTCTTATCAGTTAATACATTGGAAAAAGAGAGAGGTTTGTCATTTTTTACAATTCTAGTTAAAAAAAAAAAACAAACAAGCAAACAAACAAAAAATAAATAAAAAATTCTGTGACAAGAATATTAAGAAACCAAAAATCATGAAAAAAGAAAACTCACTTATGATAGTTTAAAAAAATGACATTTCCAGGGAAACCCATTTTGAGACAAAAAAGAGGGCAAAACAAAACTATGACACAAACTTGCTGAGACACATTTCTGCTAAGACACAAGCTAGGATAACTAACTTACATAAATGCAAGTCTTAAAGGTAGTGGCCTGAACTTCTTGACACTATCCTTTTTTATTTATCTGGACAAATCTATCATTTGATAATCTTGGGGTTTGTCTTAGCCTGACCTTTTCAGTTTTCCCTGCATTTTTAAATTTCTTATCAAACCCCAAATGAATCAGTAAACTTTTCCAAATAGGGTTTTGCACATCATATTTTTTTTTTCTAAATGTGAGGATCATAACGAATGTCTGTTGATTTTATTTACTGAGTGCATTTCCATGATAACAATAATACTGGTTTTATTTTATATTTGGGAAAAGTAATTTTTGGCAAATGTGCATGAATGGGGCTGGCTCCAGTTACATCATTCTTTTGGCTTTCTGATTACATTGTACCAGTTCTTCAGATGAATCTTATTACCACTCCAATCTCAAACTGGATTTTCACATTCTAAGCAACCATATGCAGAAATCCTGGTTGTTCAGAATATGGGCTCTCCTTTGAGATAAA